GGGGGGAATGGATGTACCTCACTGTTTCAAGTTGACTAGGAGAGAAGGAGGCCATAACTCCTCACTCCATTCCCACAGATCTGCCCTAGCAGGCTCTGCCTTCATCCAAGAATTGCCCAATGAATATCCACTTGTATACCCAGTGTCCTTCCCCTGTTGTGGTTCCAGTGCAAAATATTCACTCCCCAAACTCTTTACTAGAACGTGTGCCTGTGTGCTCACTCATTCCACCCCACACACAGCCAAGGAGGCCATAACTCCTCACTCCATTCCCACAGATCTGCCCTAGCAGGCTCTGCCTTCATCCAAGAATTGCCCAATGAATATCCACTTGTATACCCAGTGTCCTTCCCCTGTTGTGGTTCCAGTGCAAAATATTCACTCCCCAAACTCTTTACTAGAACGTGTGCCTGTGTGCTCACTCATTCCACCCCACACACAGCCACTCAGTGTCCCAAAGCTCTGTGGAGGAGGAGCATGTGCCACAAAATAGACAGAGCTGATGTAGTCCATTAGAGAAACCTACTTTCTGGGCTCTCAGAGGAGAGAGAACTGGACACCAGAAAGCAGGGTGCACTCAGAGCTGAGTCTGTTCTATATCCCATTTGAGTCATCTGGAAAGGCTTCTGTCCCTGGTAGAAAGAGAGGGTTTTACTCTGTGGCGGAGCATTGACCTCAAAAGCCCGTGTGTCAAAGTGGAATGTACTGTAATATTTTTAAGATGTCTGTGTGTGCCTCAGTTTCCCATTGTACTTTGTATTGCTATCCAGTGGTGGAGTTGTGAAAGGTATAGGTCTGCTCTTGGGGCAGAAAAGGAGATAGAGATGTGTAGAGCCCTGCACATCCACAGATACCTGCTTTATATCTGCATCCATGGATGTTAGTGTGGATAATCGCAGCTCATTTTTGTGGTTACAGATGTGGATGTGGATATGGGGTTGGTCCTGCTTTGGGCAGGGGGTTGGACTCGATCTCATGAGGTCTCTTCCAACCCTAGGGTTCTATGATACAGATTTTGTATATACGCAGAATTCTAGAGATGTGTGTCCCGTGGTGCTGCCTGGGATGGAATGACTGGGTCATTAAGGAGCGGGCTGGCCACAAATCACGTCCAAAGAAAGAGAGCAGGAAACCCTCCCTCCCTCACCCCCGAGACCATAACATTGACACCTGGCAACTAGCTGCCAAAGGGCAGGAAATCGCCAGCACCATCTCTCATCAGGAACGCAGAGCTGAAGCCCCAGCTGGCAAACAGAGGGAAAGGTGTTGGGTGGCTCTCTGAAGGGACACAGCCTCTCACCTTCAGGGGGCCAAAAAAGAGCCAGAGCCAAAGCTTGAAATGAAGTGCATAGCGGTTTGGCTGGCTGGTTGCTGTGGCTTGGCCGGGCAGGCTATGGCTCTGTGCTAACCTGAGGACTTTGAGGTTTGGAGTGACCCTAGTTCCCAGGAGTATTGTGTCCTGAGGGGAACGGTGCACACCCCGCACAGGAGTCTGCATGGCTGGATTCACTACTGTGATCCCTGCCCAAGTCTTGGAGGCTGTGGGTGAGTCCTTTTGGAACTGAGTGGGTCCAGGAGGCCTGGCACTCCCCAGGAATTAGCCTGTGTGGATCCACGACTGCCTCTAGTATGTATGCTGCCTGGAGTGCCCCTTAGTCCATCACTAACGGCCTCTTTTCCCCCAAGGGTTGGATATTACTGCTTGCTGCACATTGTCAAAGGAGACACAGGAATTCCCCCAGCCATGTACACATGTTTATGTAGACCACTGTCATCTTTCCTAAGGTCATGCAACCTCGTGGGCCCCCAGAGAAACCAACGTGGAACTCCTCCATCCTCTTCCAATCCAGGGATGGGGCCACCCTCTTCTCAGACAATACCAGCCTGGTGATTGAATACTATCCATATAAAGCAAGTAAGTTCCTCTGGGATCCAGCCAGAGGTTTGGAAGTTTCCACTTGTGCAAGGTGCACAGGCAGGTCTAGGCATGTGGATGTCTGTGGATTCACTCTGGTTCTTTGGGCACTGACGATGTTCATACACACCTGGGCTGGAAAGCTGGCAGGAAGTGCAAGGCCACAGGAAGGCGTGTGCTCTGAACTGGATGAGGCTCTGTGGATGAGAGAGAAGACTACGTCACTGTGACAGACCAGGCTGGGTCCGGGCACTGCTGAGGGCTCCTTACAGCCCCTGACTGGAGGCCTTTCCCAAATAGCCCAGGGGTCTGCCTATACCAGTAGCAAGACAGCCCTGAGATGCCATCTCATGGGAGCTAAAGTAGCATAGTGACAGCTTTGAAATCCAGCTTGTACCAATCCAAATTGCTGCCTGCTGGAATGGAACTGTCTCCCCTAGCCAAAGCACTGAGCTGAGATCACCGCTGTCCCCCCCCCTCCCCCACAGAATTATTTAGGTAAGCCCCCTTTAACAATGAAAGGATGTCAGGGCTGGCCCACAACATTTTGGCACCTGAGGCGGGGAGCTCAAATGATGCCTCTATGCCCCCTCGCTTGGGCCAAAACTTTGAAAGGTCTCAATTCCGCCTTCTGCCTGTTCTACTCCTCTCATGGCAGCCCCCCATCACTGTGAATCTAGAGCAGAGAGAAACATCTGCACCAGCAGCAGAGACAATTTTCTACACTCTGGGTTCCAGTGGGGCCCCCTCCTCCCCCACAGTCTGGCACTTGAGGTGGCCGCCTCAATCCGCCTCATGGTAGAGCCGGCCCTGGAGGATGTACACCCTGATTGCTCCCCCAGGTAACAGTTATTTAGACTGAGCTTGATAGTAAATAAAAGTGATTTTATTAAATACAAGCAATAGGATTTAAGTGGCTGCAGGTGAAAACAGGCCGAGCAAAATAGATTACAAATGTAAAATAACAGAAAACGCATAGCTAGTTCTAACACTTATTACAAACTTACTTGTTCTGATTGCAGCTAAGCCTCCAAACCAGAGTAGTCCCCTTCCCCTGCGGTCTTTGGTTCATTCCCTTGGGAGTGACATGCCATCCAAAGACCAAGAACTGAAAAACTTTGCATCTTAAATAGTCTCCCTTTTTTAGGTGGGAATTTGGTGTCTACTTTCTACCCTTCCATGGAAAATTACTTGGTCAGCCCCTATCTGTTTGGGGGAAGGGGGGGAGTGACAGACAGACATGACTTCCTGAGATCAACTACTGCTTAGACTTAATGGACAAAGGAGGCTGTTTATAGGTGATGGCCCAGACACTGAAGGAAACACTCTTGATGGCTTTCATTAGCACATTTAAAACCACAAACCATTCCATACTCCATAGCTCTAACTTTACATACAGAAGTGATACATACATACATACAAAATACACAGCCAGCAGACAAACATTAAGATTGATAGGTTACATGAGGTATTTTGTCCAAAGCATCTTCGACTTCTGCTCATTTGTGTCTGTAAGTCAGTTTCAGAAAGCATGGAGAAGGGGCTGTGCTTGGTTTTGGTGGTGGTCTCATCATCTTCATGCTAGGTTTCAAGGGTTGTCAGTGAAGTTGTTTTCAGATTTGGGAATCTCTGCAGGGTAGCTGTGGATTTTGAGATCTGTGAGCTACAGGAGTTCTTGGTTTTGGGAAAAATGAACGTGGTAGTGCTGGTTTGGGTGAGGTTAAGACTGTAGAGCTGGGTTTTGGGGAGTGTTAGAGCTGTAGGGCTGGATGGTTGGAGGGTTAGGGCTGTAGTGCTGGGTGTTATGGGTTAGGGCTGTAGGGCTGGTTTGGGTGGGGTCAGGGATGTAGTGCTAGGTTTGGGGGTGTCAGGGATGTAATGCTGGGTGTTGTGGAGTTAGGGCTGTAGGGCTAGTTTAGGTGGGGTTAGGGATGTAGTGCCGGATTTGGGGGGTGTCAGGGCTGGATTTGGGGGGTATCAGTGCTGGATGGTTGGAGGGTTAGGGTTATAGTGCTGGGTGTTGTGGGGTTAGGGCAATAGGGCTGGTTTGGGTGAGGTTAGGGATGTAGTGCTGAGTTAAGAGTGCTCAGTGCAGTAGTATTTGAGATTGGGGGGTTCAACTTGGTAGTGCCTGACGGGTTTTTTTTCAGGATTGTACTGCTGGGATTGTAGTGGTCTCCGTGGAGTAGCATTGGGTTTTGTAGGGGTCTCAGGGCTGTAGTGTTGGGCTTTGGGAGTGTCAGCATGGTAGTGCTGAATTTGGAGGGGGTCTCAGTGCAGAGGTGCTAAGTTTTGGGTGGTTTTAGCATAATAGTGCTTGTTTTTTTCAGTGACTCGGTAGGGTAATGTTGGTGTTTTGGGGGGGCTTGTTATGGTAATATTTGAGGGGGATTTCAGGGCTGTAGTAGTGAATTTTCAGGTGTCTCAGTGTAGTAGTTCTTTGGGGGGTTGTCTCAGCACGTTAGTTCTTGGTTTGGAGCTCTGGAGGTTGTAGTGCTGGGTTTCAGGGATCTTGGCTCGGTGGCGCTGTGTTTTGGGGTTGGTCTCAGGGCAGTAGTGCTGGCAAGGTTCATGGCAGGGGATAGTTGAGAATTGCCTTGCTTTCACTTTGTAAGGTTATATGATGTGATTCCTTTCCCCAGTGTCAGAAATAGAAGCTGATAACAAGCCTTTGGGCTACTCTGTGTTGCCCTTAACCAACCGTGTGTATCGGAGTCTTGTGGCAGAGAGAAACCGGAATGGGGTTCGAGTGGATGATGTTCCCATCCAGGTAACTGCTTAGGTTGCTGAAGGGGGGAGGGAGGTCCTTGTATAGGAATGAGCCAGGCAGGGGTGGGGCTAGGGAAGTGCGGGCCCCGAGACAACTTCCTACCCTTGCTGCAGGCTCCGCCTCTGCTCTGTCCTGCCCCCACTCCACTCCTTCACACGAGCCCCACCCTCGTCCACCCCCTCCCGCACTCATTGCACCCCATGCCTAAAGCCTCCTCCTGTGGATAACCGGAGCCAGGGGATTACTGGGGGGCCTGGCACAGAGCAGTGGCCTGGGTTGCCCCCCCTTGCACTTACCTAGCAGCCTGCTCCACTCTGCCCCACTGCCCATCCCCCCTCCCAGCCTGCTGCTCTCTTCTTCACCGTGGTGACAAGAAGCAGAGCACCAGGAGTCCAGGGTGCTCCACGGTCACTCCAGCTCCAGCCACGATGATGTGTGCGGGGGGGCCCACACCTGTTGCCACTCCGCCCCGAATCCCGTCCATAGGACGGTCGAGGCAGCTGCTGCAGGGTCCCCCAGAGCTCAGGGCCTGGGTTGGGTGCCTAGAATTGTCCTGTGGACAGAAATGGAGTCAGGTACCACCCACCTTCCTCTCTGAGGCCATTCGGAAGGGACTTGGAGTGAACAGACCCAGCCAACAGCAGAGAGGTGCAAGATACAGTCCTTTGCAATGGGTGCATTTTGGGAAGAGGTGTTTGCCGAGGAAGGGAAGGGTGGGGGTGCTCTCATGATGCATTAGGAGGGGAATACTACAATATGCAGCACATGGAGGGCCAGGGGAGTTCACTCAAGCAGAGTCAACCAGCGGGAAACCTTGGTTCTCATCTAGAGATCAGCTATAGAGGGGCAGGAAAAAGAGGAGTTGCTTCATATGGATGGGAACTATACAGCCAGATAGCCCAGGTTTATCCCTAGGTGTGGTGATGCCTCTGTACTTGGGGCAGGGAGTGATACACAGACCTCATCAGCCATCTTCAGAAACTCAACATAAGATTGGCCAGACTGGGTCAGACCAAAGGTCCATCTATCCCAGTATCGTGGATCAGGTGAGCCATCCTTTGTTGACTCAAGAGCTGAGTTCTAGGTCAGACTTCTGCTGCATCATTCAATCCCGCTTTTAAAGTGCTTCACTGCTCGTCTGCGGTTGCATTTTGCTGATGGTCTGTTGGGATCCCAGTGGAATGTCATGGCAGATCTGACCTATGTGGTAGCTCCAATCTTCTGGCATGTTAAACTGCAGTAGTGAAGCAGACAACTTCCTTGCTGACTGCTTTCCATGGCAGACTGGCACCAGCCAGCCTAAGCTATTAGAGGCTGTGGTTTGCCATCTGACACGCTGAGGTTCTCTTGTGGATTTTTTTTGACCTTGTCCTTCCTTGTGTTGTTTCCCAAGGGCACGAATCTGAAAACCACATCCGGTGCTGTTCCAGCTGTTCAACTCTGCATGCAGCTGCTTGGCTCAGAGGTGAGGCAAGGGGGAAGGAACAGATTAACTTTAGAGGCAAGAGGCCATCTCAGTCAGTGGGGCTATCTGCTTGTGATTTTCTGCGTGATGTGCAGGGGGAGTTCCCCTTTCCATCCTGGGAAAAGGCAAATGGGATTTTTTTATTTGACAAAGAGCCCAGAACTATAACTGCATCCAACCCCCCCTGAAACAAAGGGAATTTTGGGCCTGGCTCTAGGGATGTTAAATGGCAATTTCCATCGACTAGTACTAGTTGATAAGGGGGGAAAACTGCAGAGCCACAGCGGGATTAGCTCCTGGCCCCGGGAGCTAACCCTGCGGCTACTCTGCCTTTTACATGTATTAAGAGCCACCAGAGGAGGGGGTGGGAGACTCAGAGCAGAGGGTGGAAGTGCAGGAATCAGGACAGAGTTGGGAGGTGGAGGGGCTTGGAAGAGGGTTGGGGACCCGGGGCAGAGGGTGTGGGTGGCCGGCAGCCTCCCCACTGGCTTCTCCCTGAGGCTGGCCGGGGGTGGTGGGGGCTGCACAGCCTGCCTGCCACCTTCCTTCTCTATGGGGCTGGCTCAGGGCAGTGGGGACTTCATGGTCCAGCCACCGACTGCTGCCTGGGACCAGCCTGGCTGGTGGCTGCTCCCCGGAGGTGGCCGGGGCGGGGGGGGGTTGTGCTGCCAGCCAGCATCTGCTTCCCAGTGCTGGGGCGCTTCCTGCCCCCCTGTGGTCATTCTGGGGTGTAGTTGTCTCCCTATGGTCATTCCCTGAGTATAACTGTCCCTGCTTTAAGTTCTGATTAGAGGAAACTGCATACCAGACTTGGTAGTCCTAGCTTTTACCATTCAGGAGTAGTTCTTGAACACATGAACTCTCGGACAGATGGACCGACATAGACAGTCAGATGCACAAACTTGAAATAGATGGTAGATCAGGGCTACTCGACTTTGGAAGCCCCGGGGGCCACAATGATACTCACAGCACATACCAATGGCCGCAAGTTAAGTGTGGTTGTATATACATGCAAATATATATGCAATGCCAGCCAGCATCTGCTTCCCAGTGCTGGGGCGCTTCCTGCCCCCCTGTGGTCATTCTGGGGTGTAGTTGTCTCCCTATGGTCATTCCCTGAGTATAACTGTCCCTGCTTTAAGTTCTGATTAGAGGAAACTGCATACCAGACTTGGTAGTCCTAGCTTTTACCATTCAGGAGTAGTTCTTGAACACATGAACTCTCGGACAGATGGACCGACATAGACAGCAGATGCACAAACTTGAAATAGATGGTAGATCAGGGCTACTCGACTTTGGAAGCCCCGGGGGCCACAATGATACTCACAGCACATACCAATGGCCGCAAGTTAAGTGTGGTTGTATATACATGCAAATATATATGCAAATAGCGTCTTTCACACTGATGGGCATGAATACAAAGATTAAGGCAAGACTACCCGACACACAGGCCCCATTTAAGGCAGTTTTGCTGATGTTAATAAAATGCAATATTTACTTGATTTCCACGCATATGACAGCACTTTTAATGAGCAATGACAGTCCAGGAATTGAATTACTAAAACGTATCTCAACAGAAACTAAACCGCATATCGCCATTATATTAACTACTCTTTTGTTTTGGCTCCCACCCATGCGCCGCGTGTTGAGCCCCGTGTAAAACCAACTGCACCGGGGGCTGCAAACAAACGGGTTGTGGGCTGCATGCGGCCCGCGGGCCACATGTTGAGTAGCCCTGTGGTAGATGAAGGTCTCCTTCATAGCAGGTCTGAATCTTTTCACACAGGTCTTACCAGTACTTCTGGGCATGTTCTCTGGTGGCTTTCTGAACCACGGCCTTATCCTCTTTAAACTTCAGAGTTCTGGTTTTTGTTGCTTGTTGAAGTATACTCAGGCAAGCTTGCTTTGACTTTTCTGAGTGGGAACCTCTGATGTTCAGATGCTGGAAACCAATCAGGATGTTTTTTCTTTGTTGCTCCAAAGATATCCAGGGCAGTAGCCAGGGTCTTGTTCGGAACGTTTTCCCACAATTCTCATGTGAGAATCGGTGGAATCAGGTTGATCGTTTTCAGAAAGAGGCTCCTCTGCACATTGAACCTGCCCAAGTATAGCGCCCTTCTTGCTAGTGGTGTTGAAGTGAGGTTTCCTTAGGCTTTGCATGTTAGGTCTTTTAAAGATGTAACTGGAGTCTGGTGTGGTTGATATCACAGTCAGTGTTATGCACTGGTCAAACATCGCCACTGAGTGTCCTGAGCTACAGTGCCTCCGTATGACCTGCTTGTGGCTGCTACCAGCAAAACTGGTATTTGACACTATCAGCTCGCAAGAGTCACAAAGCTCAAGGACACTTTTAACAAATCCCTGGCCACCTTTCCAAATTATTACTCATGTCTGGGATGCAGCAGGATAGTACTCCAACCCTCTTGTTCCCAAAGGGGAATCATTATTACCTCTTAGCAGTATTGGGCCTAGGACACACAGTTGGGCATGCTGGAGCCAACCACTGGAGAGACATAGCATGCACATAGACTAGTTAATTCACTCCAGTCTTATTACTGAAATAATAATACAGCATCTAACTATCCCCCTCCCCACACAAAAACAATATCCATAAAGTTAATTTGGGATGGAACCTAATGTCATTCTGTTTATTTTTGTTGCTATTTTCGCCTGGGGAGCTGCACCCGTGGGGCATGGCTGACTGGTTTGGTACTTTGGAGTAATTGCTCAGGGGGGTCAGTGAAAAAGGGTTTGCGTGTGATGAATTATTCACATGGGTGTCACTAAGTGCAGAATTAATCCCTTTCCTTCCAGCTGGCTGCCGCACTAAATTATCACTTCCAGTCATGTGGGGAAATGCTGCGGAATTCATTTAGCTGATTATTGTTTTGATCTGGGAGCTGTAATTTTTTCCCTCTCTCCTCCCTCCTTCTCCCTTAGTGCCCCCTCTTCCAGTAGAAAGAGTCAAAGCAGGAAACAAAAAGCACCAGAATCAGACATGTTTTTGGGATGTTTTTTCTTTGTCTTTTAGAGGCATGTTTCAGCAAAGAGATGCATGGAACAATGCAACTGAATGAATTTGTTGCCAGAGCACAAAGGAAGAGGAGGAGGGGTTGGAACCTCTTGGCAGGTTCAAGCAATTTCAGCTTTGAAAATCACTGACTTAATTTTCATTTAACCCTTTGGAAACCATGCATCTTCCTAAGCAGCCAAGTTGGCAGGCATTGTAAAGTGGGCCAGCAGACTAAGGGTTAAGTTGAGTGAAGTGAGAGATTTAACACTAGCTAACTGCAGGAACAGAGCTGATGTGTAAGGTTCCTAGGCTCCGCTCCTCTACTGTGACTCATTTCTGACCTGCAGCCCCTCCTCCTAGTCCTACGCACAGCTCTGTCATGTTCCCACAGAGCTAAGACAATGTACCTCAGTCCTGCTGTGCACCTGTTCCACTCTGCAGGCCTTTCGCTGGCACCAAATGGAGCTCTCTGTATCTCTGTCCTGAACTCCACCTCTGACAGTGCCCCATCGCTGCCTCCCAGAGCTCTGCCAAAGCACCTTCATTCTACCCTGTGCTCTTCCCTGGCAAGGCCACACTAAGTCTCCTCATAGCTTTGCCAATACACCCCCCTTTGTGATGTGCGACAGTCCAGGTCTCTGTTGTGTCAGCTTGTGCCAAACCACCTGTTAGCCAGGGAAGGTGGAGCCTTGCCAAGAGTGGGGAAGCCAGGCCCTGTCCCTTTTGTATTCTCACCGCTGCCCCTTCTCTTGGCCTCCAGGCCATGCCCCAGCAAGGGTGGAAGCTGGAGTGGATCGGGGAGCTGTAGACCCTCCTGTGATTGCTTTGGTTACACAGGTCCCCTTGGAGTTCTCCCCTGGTGCGCTGGGCTTGCCACTGACCCTGCCTACCTGCCTTTGGGGCGCCCCTCCACCCTGTCTTGCTGGGCTGGAAGCTCTTGTCTCCCCCAGCCAAGGCCCAGAGTTGGGGTAACAGCCCCCATCAGAACAACACAGACACTGACCCAGTCCAGCTCTGAGAGGGCTCAGCTATGTGGCTGTTGGCAGCATCCAGGAACACAGCCCCAAAGAGGATCAAAACCCCAAATAAATCTGGCTTACTCTGTATAAAAAGTTTTTCAGAGAAAGATTGGGTCTGCCCTTTTTATCCACGGAAGAGAGATACAGTGGTTGCTCCTCCTCTCCCCCCCTCCCCTCCCCCCCCGGCACAGTTATTTATATTGGGCTTGATCATAAACAAAAGTGTTTTTATTAAGTATAAAAAGTAGTGTTTAAGTGATTGCAGTGAAAACAGACAGATCAAAGTAAGCCAAAATACACAAACCACACCAGCTAATCTTAATACACTTGGGGTACGTCTAAACTACATGCCTCCGTCGACGGAGGCATGTAGATTAGACAGATCGGCAGAGGGAAATGAAGCCGCGATTAAAATAATCGCGGCTTCATTTAAATTTAAATGGCTGCCCCGCTCTGCCGATCAGCTGTTTGTCGGCAGATCGGGGCAGTCTGGACGCACCGCGTCGACAAAGAAGCCTTTCTTGAGAAGCCTATCTTGATCGGCACAGGTATGCCTCGTGAAACCAGGTTTACCTGTGCCGATCAAGAAAGGCTTCTTTGTCGACGCGGCGCGTCCAGACTGCCCCGATCTGCCGACAAACAGCTGATCGGCAGAGCGGGGCAGCCATTTAAATTTAAATGAAGCCGCGATTATTTTAATCGCGGCTTCATTTCCCTCTGCCGATCTGTCTAATCTACATGCCTCCGTCGACGGAGGCATGTAGTCTAGACACACCCTAAGAGCCTTGGTACATGCAAATATTTACCCCAACAGCAGTTCTAAACATCTCTTTTGCAAGCTAGTCAGACTCCTAGCTTGGGCCCGATCCTTCTCCTTGTTTAGTCTTAGATGTTTCCAGCAGGCATCTTGGGAGTCTCCCTAGTGTCTGGCAACTCCCTCTTGTTTGGTTTCCCATCTTTATATCCCT